AACTGTTAGAGTCTAGACTAGACATGTGAGCATACACAGATGTTAGCAGCCTGCCTGAAATTGAATGTTGTTACAAGTTGTGAAACAACAAAAGGTTCTAAGGTGGGGGGAGAGAGGGCTAGAGGCTGGGGTCCCTGGAAAACATTCTGCCTCCCCTCACAATGGTCCTGCTGGGCTCATTGTCAGAAGACTGTCAAGTTCTTCGTGGTTTGAGTAAACATGTTTAGCTTCATAACATAGAAATCTACTATTGCATAATTTCACATTTGGAATTCTGTGATAACTTGAGCAAAGATGAAAAGACAGTGGTGAAGGCAGAGTAGGAGAATACTGTTCACCTGCCTCTAAAAGGAAATTGTGCATCACCTCTAAATGTGACTAATAATGCACCCTTAAGAACCTTCTTCTCTTGTGAACAGTGCACTGACCTGTTAATGAAGATTTGGAAAGGGATTCTCACAGGAAAGCCCTCCTTTCGGATACGAATGGTTTCTAAGATTCCAGAGTAGCGCAACTGGGTGCTAACCACTTCAACCTCAAATAAGCCAGGCTCCTACAGAAAAAGACAACATGCCATCAAATAGGTCAGCCCTGCTTGGAATGAAACCAAAATAGAAAACTATATTATACTCAGTGGATTTACAAAACCATTAGTCCTGTATCTTACTCAAAGAAATCTTTCTATCTCAGCAAATCATCTTGCACAACAACAGTGAGGCTTAGGATATTTAAAGAAGTATTTTATTGCCAGAAGACACTGGGGAACATTTTTCTTACCTTCTTATTATTTGGCTTTAAGCAGCGTACAAAAAATGGGTTACACCTAAAAAACAGAAACATTGTGCTTTACACACCAAAGAAAGTGCAAGACTATAATTCAACACAGACACACACCATAGATACTGTCTCAGCTTTCTTGCTTTGAAAGGTGAGTTAACTTCACATTTGTACTTTTACTCTGCTATATCAAGTCCACCTAGAGCAGAGGTTAGGATGTGGCATCCTTCAGGAAACTCAGAGATCAAATAGCTGTTTTCTATCAAATGGGTTAAATGAGCCAGATGTCCTCATTTCAAGCATATTTATGTACTTATGATCTTGCCTTCCAGTCTTTGCTAATAATGATTTATGCTCTTCATCGGAATAATCAAATAAACACGTAAAGGACAATTACTGTAGGTCAATAAAGAACAAATTGAATCAAGGTCCCCGAAACAGAACAGTATACAGATAATTCAGGTGCATCAGAATGCCTTCATAGTCGCCAAAGGAACAAGTAATAGCTTTATTCCATGCTGAAAAGAGAAGAGTGAAAACACAATGTTTCGGCTGTGAAGCCTTCTTTGGGTGCGAGGGTGTGTGAGAGTGCCTTCTTCAGGTGTGAGGGTGTGTGAGGGTGAGGGTTGTGGTTTCACTTTTCTCTTTTCAGCATGGAATAAACCTATTACGTGTTCCTTTGCTGAGTATACAGATAGCCTACTGTGTGTATGCAGTACACTGGAACAACAGGAGCTTCCTTGCTCTTTACTTACCTGTCCATCTTCTCCACCAGCTCCAGGAGGGACAGCTGGAATTTGGCTGCCACTGTGGGAGGCTGGTATCTCCTGGTCACTGTGCTGTTCTTCCTCAGGAGGGACTTCTGCTGGGAGAGGAACTGGGCGTGGCTAGAAAAGAGGTTTGCCACCATCTACACAAAAAAAGACCCCGAAATTATCATCTTATAGTGGTAATAATTTGTGCAATCACAAATGCAGTGGTGCATCATTGGTGCAATAATATTCACAAATCCTTGACAGAGCCCTTATCATAAGAGAAAAAGCCTGGCATAATACCTGAGAAACCCCTACTACAACTAGTGCTGCCATTTTAATGTTTTTCAGACCTATCTATTTTCATTAGCTTACTTTCTAGCCAGCAGCCATATCACCCTGCAACTCCCAAGTGGCAGCCCACAGCAGGTGTGAGCCTGGTCAGTACCTGGATGGGAGACCTCCTGGGAAAAACTAAGGTTGCTGCTGGAAGAATTGTTAGTGGGGCCAGCAGGGGGTGCTCACCCTGTGGTCTGTGTGGATCCTAATACCCCAGTATAGTGACGGGGACACTATACTGTAAAAAGCCGCCGTTCTTTGGATGAGATGTAAAACCGAGGTCCTGACTCTCTGTGTTCATTATAAATCCCAGGGTGTTTCTCGAAAAGAGTAGGTGTGTTACCCTGGCGTCCTGGCCAAATTTCCCATTGGCCCTTACCAATCATGACCTCCTAATAATCCCCATCTATAAATTGGCTACATCACTGTTTTCTCCTCCCGACTCATAACTGGTGTGTGGGGAGCATTCAGGCGCACTATGGCTGCCGTCGCATCATCCAGGTGGGGCAGCACACTGGTGGTGGTGGAGGGGATCCCCATTACCTGTAAAGCACTTTGAGTGGAGTGTCCAGAAAAGCGCTATATAAGTGTAAGCAATTATTAGGCTATAACATATAAATTAGGCTATAACACCTCCCATCTGTTCAAGTAAATTGAATGACCAAGTTGCAGATGCAAAAATAGCATTTTGGAAAAATACTGAGCAACTTGAAAGCTATTTTGAAAGGACCTCCTCTTACCTTGTTTCTACTCTGGGTGAAGAGATCCAGCACTTCCTGGCGAACCTGATCGTAATTCTTGTCTAGGAACTTGTGGACCTGCATCGACAATTCAGAGATCAGAGAAATAAAAGTCCTCAGGCCACACACGCATTCACTGTACTACATTTATTTGTTGAAAGACTGAGATTATAAAGTTATGTATCTAAACTAAAATTGTAGATTTTGAGTACTATTATTTTTATATCCAGCAAAACTGGATATAAAAATCTTGAGTATTTAACAGGTCATGTTGTTGACTCCTGCCTGTTTAAAAGACATGTGGAAAAGATTAACGACACAGTTGCTAGCTGTAAAATGGGAATACTTTCTGTTTACTTTCCTTCTGCTCCTAATTTTACCAGCTACAAGTTAACAAATCATTTACAATCTTATATCCTAGCAGTGGATAGCGCCTAGATTTCTCCTATAGCTCGGAGCACAAATGTTAACTTGTTCTTCGAAAAAAATAAAAACCTGGAACACAAACAGGTGTGTTCATTTGACTTTATCTGTTATTTAATGGTTTATCTAATGTATTCACGTTAACTTTAGAAACGAACATTATTATGAAAGCGTAGTAACGTAGCGTAGTATGTAAGCGCCCTCCGGGGGGCCTCAGTAACACCAGCTGTACCTGGTAAGTGACTTTGCCAGCAAAGTGCTTGATGGTGAATTCAGGAAGTGGCATCTTTGGCCTTGAGTAGAGGGTGTTGTTACCATGGTGATAGTGACACTTTTGAAGGAAGGTGTGGTCTGTTGCCTGGCGTGCAGATAGAGTGCAGTTAAAACACGTCATTTTTTAAAATAAGTCTTGAAAACTACCTTACGCAATTACACATTAGAATAACTATTACTGACGTTGGTAAATAACAGTAAATATGGACAGTGGAGCTGAATTAAAACAAAATCTGAACAAAAAATACTATTTGCCTGTATATTTCTCTGTTTCCGAAATAGCTTTGAGAGGAAAAACGTCAATGGGAGATGTTCATGTCAGACGGCAGTGAAAGGTCCTTTACCTATAAAAAGCTGAACTCCTGTGTTTGCTTACCGAATAACAGTATTTTTTTTTCAAAAAGACAAGCATCCTGCATGAAACATACATTTTCCAAAATTGAACACAACAAAATAATTTTACTCCCCCCCTTTATACTGTACAGTGCCTTTGCAAAAGTATCAGACCCTTGTGCAGGTTTCACACTTTGGTGTTCTAAAGGTTGCAGTCATGACACTCTGAAGTAGCAATTAATATGTTATATGCAGTACACAACCTACTCCTCACATTCAAAGCAAAAAACAAAAAAGGAATAAGAAAACATAATCAATGTGAAGGGAAATGGAAAAGGCATAATTAGATAAGCGCAAAAACCCTCTCTGGTGGCAAAAACAAAAACACATAGAGAAAAAAAAAACACTAAAAAGACACACAGTTAGCTGAGTAGCCTCTGTCCATTGGTAATAAGAGTAGGTCAAATGATTTAAGGACAAATACACTGCTTCTGTCTCAGTCAAGTAGTACAATTACAGGCAGTTTCTTGAAAAACACCTACTGTAAGTGATGCTACAAATGCGGCAAAATGTTCTGTGGTTAGACGTTAATCAGAAATCTGAACTTTTAGGTCGAAATAAAGTCTTAGAACGGACATAAACCCAACATTGTGCATCAGTCAGTCAGCACCTTCCCGGCTATCAAGCATTGTGGTAGGACCATGTTATAATTCTGCCTTATCTCAGGGACTGGGAAGCTTCTCAAGACCGATGGAGCAAAGTACTGGCAAATATTAAAGGAAAACGTTCTTCAGACGTAAAACTGGGGCAGTAATTCACTTTTCAGCTGGACAATGACCCAAAGCACAAGGCCAAAGTCACACTGGAGTGGCTTAAGAATCAGACAGTTACTATTCTTGAGTGACCCATACCGTGCCAGCTATGCCCCATTGCACAGAAGTGAGCAATGCCCGCACCAATTCAGAATTTAGAGAGACCTGATTTTCCAATTCAGCCAGGATAAACTGGGGTAGACACCTATACTCTTTTGAAACCGACAGTACCACAGGATTTTTAATGGATACATCAAGACCTTATTTTATTGTCTTCTCCAAAAGATGGCTCCTCCTATAACACAATCTCCCAGGTCCCCATGCCTGGGCATTGGTTTTGGAAATTGTGATCCAAATAAAGGAGCACCACCTATTGGTCCTCCACAAATTGCAACCTTATTTTCCTCGGGGGTCTCCCATCACAGTGCTGCCCAGGCCCACCCATGCTTACTTTCTGAGAATGGACGAGATCAGGCTCAAGGAAGTAAGGTCGTTTTATATTCACATAAGTTTGGATTATTGGTAAATCTAACAGGCCACATCTTCAAAATGGGCCACTGACCTGAGGGAAACAGCTCTGGTCGTCGAGTATTCGCAGGACCCCATAGGGCTTCTGGGAAATGAGGTCAATGCAGGCCTGATTGTCACTGAAAGCGATCTCTTTCCAGTCAATCTGCTCCCTGATATATTCATCCTTAGAAAAGCAGAAAACAAAACTTATTAAAAGGGTATTTAAACTTTTTGTTTGTCTACATCACCCTCTAAATGTTTGAAGATGCAAAAGAACAGGTGTCAGCTTCTATTTTGAGTCAGTCAGGACATGCTTGCTACTGCACGAGCTCATACCCTATGACAGGTCATCTTTCAGCACCTTTTGATTCTGTCCAGAATTTGCTCTGTGTCTGCTCCAGTGTCAAACACCAACACAGTTCTTAAATGTTTGTTAGTAAAAAAATATTTCATCCCTCTTTTCCAATTTCTGGATTTTCTCTCCCAAAACATACGTAGTTAAGCCTTCACAACCCGTTTAAGAAAAGCAGGAGATGGTTTTTCAAGTGGGGAGGGGAAAGCCGGGTAAGGCCATGCTGTAATGGTGCTGATGATGAAATCCAGCACTCGGAATTGGCCAGGATCATGGAGGACTACGTTCAGGCCCAGCATGTTTACGCCAGGGGCAAAGACTGCACTGCTAAATTTAAAGTTACTACAGCACTGCATTCGTTTTTTGGATTCTGGGGAATAAACTGTGAAATAAAAAGTCTAGGCACAACGCAGGCCTCAGACATGCAATGATACAAACTACAACCACGCCTGATGCGCTGCAGCCCCACTGTGAAGTACTGGGAGGGGCGATATTCTCCAGAACAGTCTGCTTACCTGCTCCTCCTTAAACACAATCCTATTGAAAAAGAACTGCAGGTACTCGTTTGCGTAATTGATGCACAGCTGCTCAAAGCTGTTGAAGGAGAGGTCCTATGAAAGGCAGGAAAAAAGGCTGCATAAATATATATACACACAAACAAGTTCAGGGTACTGCACACAAGACAAAACACATGAAGCATGAATCAAAATGGGAAATGCTGAGCTATTTAGAGGCTACTGATGAAAAAGAAGGTTTGCATGTTCACACTTCATTTCTATCTTCTGGACAATGTAAGGAAGAATTTAAAAAGGCAAACAAAATCCTAGGATATAGAGTGACTCTCAATATGGAAAAAATATTGCTGAGGAATCTGTCCAGATTCCAGTTCCTGACAGGGTTTTTAGGCTTGAACAGAGAAGGCTACAAGCAGACCAGGTACACTACACGTACTCACAACCCAGCAGATGGCACGAACAATGAGGCACAAATCAGAGGGCACAAGTGGAAACTACAGTATGTGTAAGAGCACTTCTTTACCCAAAGGAGTGCAGCCATACGGAACAAGCTACCCAGCCATGTTCTTGATGCCGATACAGTATATTGGTTCTTTCAAAAAAGCAGGATGAGATCCATGGATCAATTAACTACTAACTGTCTGTGAAGAGATTGATGTTTGCCCGTTATGACTTCCGACACGTAGGGGCAGCAATATCCTGTTGCTGTTTCCGTAACATGAGTTTTTTTTACGGGGCAGGGTTGTTAGCCTTGTGCCGAAACTCCAACATGGAGGACCTGCTGCCCAATGTGGGACCCGAACCCACTACTCTGAGATGATGAGTCTCATGCTTTGACAACAAATGTATCCTAATATAGTCCCATTCATTCTAAAGATTCCCACCAGAGCGCCGTCAAGGGTTTAAAAAAGCATAGGAAGACACAATTCCAACTTAAAGGCAATACACAAAGGAGAGTCAAAAAGAAATGTTTTCAAAGAACCTAGTATTACAGCATTTCTAATACTGAATGAGAAGGAGTCCTAGAAAGAGGAGCTTAGCAGCTACAAATCTCCACTGAATTTTATTTTTTTCTTAGAACGACGTGATTCCTCCATCATGACTCGGCAGGAATCACTCTTTTTTTTACCTCAAATCCATAAATGTCGAGAATGGAAATAGAGAGGGCTTCATTCCTTGGGTAAACCAGCTTGTTTATCCTGTCTGTGAGCCAGCTGAACAGAAGGGAGTACAGGATCTTGGCAATTGCATCTCTAGGGATTGGAGAGAGAAGCGTTCTTAAAACGGGGGGCATTTTAAACACCGGCTGTAGATGAGATGTGTTCTTGGAAGGTCAGCTCTGCTTATGGATTGTACTATGTACTATTTCGAAACAATTGAAAACAAGTTACCTGGCATCAACTGCACTTTCCACAGTGAGAGGAGTGAATATTTTCTCCCTCATGGTTTCCTGAAAGAAACACAATCTGTGTTTAACAGGTATCTTTTTATTTTAGATGATGACAGGGAAAAATGGCTGATGCATTAAAATGATATTTCACTCTATGTTTAACAACAGAGACAACAGGCCTCAGGCTGAGCAAAGACAAAGTTCTATATTAATTGTTATTAGCACAGAAGAGGCAAATGTGTTTCAAGTAACAGAAGCCCTTAAAATGAACAAATATTCAAGGACTGATGGTATGCTGCCTGTTACACTAAAGGAATCGAGAAACGTTTTCATCGGCTGTTAAAACTCTCTGAAGTGACTGAAGTGAAGGGCAGGACAGGTCAGCAGTGCACTATCCTTAAAACTGTGGGAAGAACACAGATAAGAACACAGAATCTGACTGACCAAGGAGACCATCTTTGACGTTAGTCTTCACTACCTTTTTAATCTCCAGTTCCAGAAGATGCCTAATGAATCTCTCATGGCTTTCTGACTAAGTAGACCTTTGTACTGAGGACCACAGCCATGTTGCCCACGTGCTCCTTCAAAGTTTTCTAGCTATGGAGGAATCTGCTGAAATCGGAAGCCGCGTGGTTTGGGCTAGTGTGTCATCGGGATCATTATGGTCTCCTTAGCCAATCAGGTTCTGTGTCACTGTGATGTAATGATAAGGCTTGCTGGCAACTGCTCTGTTTGGGTGTTAATGTCTCAGAGGCCCAGGATAACCCCTTACTGGATTACAGCCGTTTCCATAGCACTGTAACCTGCTATAATTAGCTCCTCTGGTTATTCAACCCCGTGGATGCAGAGCTTATATGCATCATTTGAGGTTTTGTTTGGCCCCATTGTTGCTGTTGTTTGGTGGACAAATTGAAATGTATCAGCTGTTGAATTTGTTTCAAGTTTCACAAGGACAGCACAGAAAATTACATATACTACACTGACAGACCGATAAGGTCTGGAACAGGGCCAGAACATGACAGCTCTTCACAGCTTCACAATTTGCTGCAGTTCAGACAGACTTTGAAATACCTTCTGATAAATACAATGTGCTGTTAGTTTACAATTCTAACCTCAGCAAGAGCAAAAAAAATGGGTTACTGGAAATAAAAATGTTGTAAAGAAGAAAGAAGAGGGCTTGTATTCACTCTGTCTCCAATTTCAAGAAACCTATAACTTCTACTGTGGATTGTGGCCTGAATTCTAATCAGAATCTTGAAAAACATCTTGAAAAATTCCATGGCTATTGATGTTACCAATGCCAGTTGAATTCTTGAGTGGAAAAGGTAGGTACTACACTTCCACTTTCCTTACCCTAATTTGAAAGACAAAGGGCTTGTACAGTAGCAGAACATTTCACAGCCCCCTGACATTTCCTCAAATGAAGGATGAGACATCAGGGAATTGCCCCTTCTGCCAGAATCCATCCTTACCATCATTTTGTAGGTTATGGACTTCTGCAGCCCCTCTGGAGAGATCTGGAGAAGTTCCGCCACCACCCGGATCTCCTGGGCACTCACCACTGATGCTACCTCCTGGGAATCTGTCTGTGGAAGAAGACAGCTGTCACAGCTCTCTTTTCAATCAAGATACTGATTCTCCATTGGACAAATGGGCTGACATTGGCGGAATTGAAAGACAACACTACGAGGAGGATCCATTAACCATTATGCAGCCAAATGCACGAACTGTTCTCCATCTACATCCTCATAAACTGAATAAAAGCACTTGAAAAATCGTTCTAGGAATGCAGAGATTCCATTTCTGAAAAAGAAAACTCTTTGCTGGGTCTGCCAATGACTTCATTGTACCTCGTATTTTTCGAAGTACACGTTTCCCAGGTGCAGGATGGAAGACAGGACCCTGAAGATGCTGTTCTGGTCTTCGACACTGAAGCTCAGAATTTCCATGGCGCTGAGGAGCCTCCGGAAGTCCTCACCATCACTCTTTCCAGGGATTTCACAGTAGCCACCCTGCGGGAAAAGCAACCCAGCAAGAAGCCCACTGTCTGGACGGCCGGAATGGAGTTCAAAGGCCAGATCTATCGTGTTATTAAGCCCAGACGAAAAAGACTGATTAACACTATAAACTAAAACCAACACCTCAGAGATGTGAAACTGTGCTCTGCATCTCTGCAAGAGTTTTTTTTTACAATTTTACAAGTCTTTAGAAGTGAGGTGCAGCTTGCGTCCGTTGGTGTGTAAATACCAGCTAGCGCCATTACAAATTAAAAAGCCTCCCTTTCATTGATTAGAGCTAAGCTTCACATAGGTTCAACCGATTATTTACATAAATCAATCGATTTCACGGGGTTGGGTGCGTCTCTGGGTCTGGGTTAATGAATGTTGGGATTCCTTATAGAACAGGAGTCAAGAAGGTATAAAAGTGGAGTAAGTTCATGGACTGCTGTGTCTACCTGGTTGAGGTAATAGTACGTCTCTGCCTCCTGAAGGTAGAATCTCTGTTTCTGTTCGGCAGAAAGGCCCGCAAGCATCTCGTAAAAAATGTGATAGTTCCGCTCATTTTTGGCCTGCGAAACAACAATACAATAAAAATACAGAAATTACAATAAAAAATATCCTCAGGTTCTATGATTAAAACGCCACACCAGCTGACTACAAATATACCCTTTGTGGAGTTTCTTTTTTTACCTGGGCTGGAGTCAACAATTCACCTGTACACTAATACATTTATTATCCGAAAGAAATCCAGCTCTAGTACTCTCCTGAATCAGGAAAACTGTCTTTTAATTTATTTGAGTTCTCACATGAGTCTAAGTGGTGGAGTCACTGCTGCCTCATACTTCAGAGGTTCTGGGAAGAATAAGTACTGTGATGTAATTCTCACCTGAAATACAATCCTGGACTTCTCAAGTAGATACTGAGAGGTTATGGCACCACTGATCACACCCCTGTATTAAATAATGCAGACAATTGTGTTTATAAATGAGTGCCAAAGAGCACCTCATTAAGACACCTTAACAAGTTACGGTAAATAAAAACTGTACACTCTTGTTTGTAAAAACCATTCAGCTCAATACAGTACATTAGAACAATGGCCTTTTTCTTTGTGTGCACTTATGTGCCACTTGTTTCCACATGGATGGGAAATCCTTGTAAGTGTTTCAAAGTTGATGTTACACTGTATTTGCTATAACCGGTAATGGCGATAAATAATAATAAAAAAAAAACATTTTGCACGAACGCAAGAAAAAAATTGTCCACTTACTCTTCCAAAAAGATTTCCACATATTTCCCAAACCTGCTTGAATTATCATTCTTGACAGTTTTGGCATTTCCAAAAGATTCCAAAAGAGGAGTTGCTTCAAGGATCTATGACAGAAAGGTGGGAAAAACAGAATGTTCTGGTTTTGAACGGCACCATCAAGGACTCTCTCTGGAGTAGAAGACCACTGATTCTGGAACTATATTTTTATAGTCCATCTGAAAAGTAGCAAAGCAATTTCAAATATTTCACACTTCACACAGGATGATGTAAATGTGTGGAAAAGTTATTAAAATACAGGCTTAATGCACGTTTTAAAAACGGCAATTTTAAAAGAAATCTAGTGTTAATCAGGTCTGTCAAAAACACAGGGCTCTATGACAAGCATGGCATATCTTTAAACTCAGTATTAGAAAGTTTTAAAAAAGACTACAAATCCCACAACTCCATGCATTTCGCTGCAATGCATGTGCTTGTTTCCAATCCAGTACAGCACTGAAACTGTAGGGTCATGCTATGTACTACAGTATGTGCACACAATCAAACAGACACAGTACCTCAATCTGTGGTATTGCAGATCAAGGGTAATCCAAATGAAAATATGTGAAAAAAAACAAAATCACGTAAACATCTATCTAAGCTGAAGCAGATTTCAAATACACCAACTTGTTTTACAAAAGTGGTGTGTTCCTTGGAAATTGTTTAAGAGAAAATTTGTGATATGAATGTTTTCTATTGATTAAAGGCAGTATTTAAAAAAATGCAACCTAAGATAATACATTGTGTATTGATAAGAAGGTAAATAAAGAGTATACATACCAGTATTTATTACAACAGACAATACTAGTTAAAACAAGCATAATGGAACAAAGGACCAAGAAGAGAAACACTGGTTATCTGACTTTAACAGGGATGACTTATTCAATGCAAGAATTTGACAGGTGAGGTTCTGAGCCATGTGACTGAGGATGTACAGAGGGAGGGACAATGGGAGGTCAAACTCACTAGTGATAGGCTGTTTGAGGCATGACGGGCAGATTTGACAATATATATGGGACTTGGTACGCTTTCACTGTAGCAGAAAGTCATTTCACATAACGAATAAAGAGAGCATTCATTTTTTCAAATGCATTAATGCGAACATTCATGTCAGTGTTTGACTTCAGGAAGACAAGTCCTGCTTCAGGAACACATTTACACTTCACGTTATTCCACTGTGTAAGCCTGTGGACACACTCCAATCTACATAGGGGTCTGAGCCCATTACAATTGATGATGGCTTGAATGGTGCCTTGAAGAGACTTTTCTGTAACACAATCTTAATAGATGCAAAAAAAACTGCTGTTCAAAAGCCCAACCACCAGCTACCACTGAAGCCCTTTATATGCCAAAAAGACTTAATTATACCCATTTATGCAAATATGACACTTAACCAGTCACCAACTAACAAATAATTACAAAACTCATCTCTAGTGTGGCAATTTACAAGTATTAGAGGCTTAATTCAGTGCCTACTGACAGGTTGTCTGGAATTGTCTTTGCGAAACAAAGGCTCAATTTACATCTCTTGAGATTCCAGTAAAAAGTGAAATGAGTACAGGTATCTAATGTTGCACACTTCCACATTCCGAAAACATTACTTGGTGTCCTAGCATGAATATCTTTATGAAATGGAAGCTTTCTGAGCTGCTTTCATTTGAAAATTTGAAATGTCTTGCCAGTTTTGCAAGATCTGCCAATGAAAGTACATCTACATTCAAAATGTCTGATCAAAAGTCCATGTCTTTATAATGTTCGCATTGGGCACATTTTACATGCCCGGTCAGGACCGTTCATACCTGCTGTGTGATGTTTCGTTTGTGATGAATCGCTGCTAGGTATCGCAGGACAAGCTTTGTGGCTTCTGTCTTGCCGGATCCACTTTCTCCACTGGAATAAAAAACAACCCACCTGCATCACACAAAATCCCATTACACTGTCTGTGTAAACACACTGGCCTACACATGGGTGGAGTGGCTAAGGATCTGTGCCTGTGGCTGGAAGGTTGCCGGTTCAAATCCCGCAGCCGCGGGAGGAATCCTACTCCGTTGGGCCCCTGAGCAAGGCCCTTAACCCCAACTGCTCCAGGGGGCTGTATAAATGGCTGACTTGTCATTTCTCTCTTTCTGTCTGTGTGTCTCATGGAGAGCAAGCTGGGGTATGCGAAAATACTTATTCTTATGCAAGAAATTGTATATAGCCAATAAAGTGATCTTATCTATTAGGATCACACAGACGTGCAAGGCTAAAAAGCTAAATCCAATGCAAGACGGACTTGGGTGTGTGTCTTTGTGCTGGAAATGCTGAAGGAGAAGGAAGGCGGATGAAATGGAGTCAATTCTGCCCACTGGAAACCGCCATGAAATCCAATCATATGGCCAGCAGAGGCTGATAAGCATGATCACTGCAGACATGGCTAGCTGGACAGTGGAAAGGTGTTGAAATCTTGCACCGTGTGAGAGATGGCTGTTAGAGGAAAGAGCAGCAGGTGGAGGAGAAACTGGTGAGAGCCAGGATACCGGAGGGGCTGCGATGAAAAAGGGCAAATGGCTGGTCAAGCGAATTTGTGGAGTGGAGCTGAAAACGTGGAGCGTGTACCTGGTGGTCAGTCTACAGAGGGTTTATTCTTGTAAGTGGTCATGAGGCGAGAGGCGAGTGTTAATAGATTGTGAAGAGAGGACGTGTATGGCGGCAGGGTGAGTATAGAAGACAGAGAGAAGGAGGGGGAGATCGGAGGCTCCCGGTTCTGCTGGAGGAAGAGGACGAGGGGCTCTGTCCAGCTGTGCAGGAGGAAGAGGACGAGGGGCTCTGTCCAGCTGTGCTGGAGGAAGAGGACGAGGGGCTGTCTGTCCAGCTGTACTGGAGGAAGAGGGCGAGGGGCTGTCTCTCCAGCTGTGTAGGAAGAAGAGGGCGAGGGGCTGTCTGTCCGGCTGTGCTGGAGGAAGAGGACGAGGGGCTCTGTCCAGCTGTGCAGGAGGAAGAGGACGAGGGGCTCTGTCCAGCTGTGCAGGAGGAAGAGGACGAGGGGCTGTCTGTCCAGCTGTGCTGGAGGAAGAGGGCGAGGAGCTGTCTGTCCAGCTGTGCTGGAGGAAGAGGATGAGGGGCTGGCTGTCCAGCTGTGCTGGAGGAAGAGGATGAGGGGCTGTCTGTCTAGCTGTACTGGAGGAAGAGGATGAGGGGCTGTCTCTCCAGCTGTGTAGGAAGAAGAGGGCGAGGGGCTGTCTGTCCGGCTGTGCTGGAGGAAGAGGACGAGGGGCTGGCTGTCCAGCTGTGCTGGAGGAAGAAGATGAGGGGCTGTCTGTCCAGCTGTACTGGAGGAAGAGGACGAGGGGCTGTCTGTCCAGCTGTGCTGGAGGAAGAGGACGAGGGGCTGGCTGTCCAGCTGTGCTGGAGGAAGAGGATGAGGGGCTGTCTCTCCAGCTGTGTAGGAAGAAGAGGACGAGGGACTGTCTGTCCAGCTGTGCTGGAGGAAGAGGACGAGGGGCTGTCTGTCCAGCTGTGCTGGAGGAAGAGGACGAGGGGCTGTCTGTCCAGCTGTACTGGAGGAAGAGGATGAGGGGCTGTCTCTCCAGTTGTGTAGGAAGAAGAGGACGAGGGACTGTCTGTCCAGCTGTGCTGGAGGAAGAGGGCGAGGGGCTGTCTGTCTGACAAGTCTCCACTGCAGGGACAGAGAAGGACCTAGGCAGGAGGTGAGGACCTGCAGACTCTGAGGTATTAGTTGCTGTGAGAAAGTTTTTAAATGAGCAATTAAATGCTAGTTATGGTGGCTGTGAGACAGTGAGAGTGACAGTGAAAGAAATAATGAATGTTCAGGCAGGTCCGTATTTACAGTAGCTCACCTGGTAGGGGTGAGGCCTGTCTCTCACTGTATTTTGTTGTTAAGTGCTTTGTAATGTTTCTACATAAAAGGCACTAAACAAACTATTATTGAAAACACTTTAGGGACTGCAACTAGTGCTTATAAACAATTTAGACTAACTATTATTATGTAAGTTCTATATAAACAATATGAAAACAGTTAAGGCCCTTCTGAACTGCAAGGTATTCTTCTAGCTCTGTTGACTGTTTCAGAATGGAAGAAGTAACAAGAGCATAAAACTAATTTCTCTTAAATATAAGAAGAAATCTGCTGTATCATGACATTTTTATTGTACATCTGAGGAGAAGATGGTTCTCGCAGTGCCTCGGATGTTTTAGGTCATTCTATACATCCGTCATAGCTGTGATTGATAATTTTCCTGTTTCCCTTTCAACATCAGACAGAGATGTGAAATTCAACTCTGGAATGCAAGTATCACACCAGCCTGCCTGAAGTTACAAAGGATTTATTTCATAGAGTGATGTGATCTCACTGTGGGAACAAGCTTGGCAGCAATACTGGGATTCTTTTCTTACACATATCTCCTGTAACTGAAGGTCTGAAGAATTCCAGCAATTTACCAGCAGTGGAAAGCAAGACCAACTGACCTGGACTTTACAGAGTGTTTGTAAAACACTGGAAAACGTAACTGATTAAACGCAGTACCTGACACCTACATTGAAAGCTGGCCCCTTTTCTCTGTTAGAATTGGCTTTTGCAACAATGGTGTATTTGTATAAATACTAAGGCTGACAAAACTTTACATTGCTTTGGAAATAAGCTAATCTTCGGCTTTTTAATGGGTCCTATTTCCAATATTTCAAATGGGGAAGTGTTGTTTGTTAAAACAAAAACTCCCAGAGCAGCTCATACTAATGTATTGAACGTTAAAGCTCACAGACTGATTCTCTGATAGACAGTGGCCACAATGTGCGTCACAAAGAGGCATTAGTTGAACCAGGCTACACTGGCAAAGATTAGAACACAGAAACCACGGCTAGCAAGAAACCTGCCAGGAAAGGAGGCTAAATTCTTAACTTGTCCACAAAAAGGTGGGACTGATCACATGTTAAAACAAAAGTTCATCAGCAATACAGAAAGAGCTCTACAGCAAAAAGACAAGACCTCTGATCTACTAGCAACACAAATGCGACCCACCTGATAATAATGCACTGGTTCTGTTTGGCATCCATCATTTTCGTGTAAGAAACATTTGCAATCGCAAAAAGATGTCTAGAAAAGAAATACAATGCTCTTCATCAAAGCAATTAAACGATAATGTAAATTACATGACTTTACACAGTATGTATATCAACAAATTATTTCATAAAGTATGCTAGACTGTAATGGCTTGTTTCGTATACCGTATATGTACACCTACTGATAATATATTTGGCACACTTGCCCATTGTTTAATAATTGCAAATATTATTGAAACTTTTTCATTTCAGTGAATGGATTACAGTCTAGAAGTGAACTGACACTACTCTTCTAATAAGTTCTAGCACTGCTGGATTGACAGCATGTGGTTTATTGGGTATTATTTCCATGTCAACATTTGTTGAGTCCTGTGCGGCCTTGTAACACTCACCCTGTTTTACATACATCTCCTGTTACCTTACATGTAATATGGCCTTCAATCCATAAACCTCCCCATGCCTAGCTCCATTGCAATTTGTTAGTGGAAATATGAGAATCTCGTATATATCAGAGTGCTTCAGAAAAGTAATTACTCAAAGTGTAAAGTGCCCAGGAAAATCCGTTTTACAGTGGAACTGAAAGCTTTGGCAAAAACCATATGATTAACAGCACATTTTTAGAATGTAAAAGCAACGAGACTACACAAACACAGACTGATGTTAATACTGTAAGGGTTCTCTTTCCATAGTGACACTCACGGTGGATTCTCTCCCAGTGCCCGTCCCTCATACTGCAACACCACGTCGGTCCCATAGATATTAAACATCTTATAGGGGTTCACAGAGACTAGGATACTGCCAATGTACGTCTGCAAAAAAGGCAAAAGAATGCCACTTTAATAATTAATAATAATAATTGCTTACACTTATATAGAGCTTTTCTGGACACTCCACTCAAAACGCTTTACAGGTAATGGGGATCCCCTCCACCACCACCAATGTGCAACCACTGGCCAGGCTCACACCTGCTTAGCTTCAGTGGGCTGCCAGTTGTGAGTTGCAGAGTGATATGGCTGCTGGATGCTGCCACTTTAGAGGTGTTGCTAACTAATACAACTCAACCAGAGCAATTGTATGGGAAACATCTGCTTCACTATGTGTTGATGTGCACTTACAAACATAAAACCTAAGAAGAGTTTTATGTAGTACCATTAAGGTAAAACCACCACACTGTAAAATAAGAAAAAAGAAATTGTTCCTGAGCAGACAAACAGTGCGTTTAGAACAGCTCTTTTAAAAAAGACTTGTCACCTTCTTACTGCTAGTTAAAATCTTGCTGCCACT